CAACAACAGTCAAGTAGTTCGAATGAACACAATAAAATTATAATGTATTAAAATCATAACAATAAAACCGAAACAAGTAGAGCGAGGCAGAATACTGAAAACAAGAAGAAATTTGCATTGATTTTTTTTCAGGCGTTCTTAAAAAGCATTTACAATATTCTAAAGAAATCAAAGTGGGCAACTTCAAATTCTATTATCAGGTGTTTTAAGGTTAGAGGTGCAGAGTAAGAGAAGGCCAGTTTGTCAGGTTCAATCCGTTTCAAAGGAAAGCTACAAAGAGGGCCTGGGAGTAAACTGCAGCTGTAGGAGATATATGAAGGTAAAGATGCAAGGGTCTATGTGTGGCAAATTTTGACCAACTGACCAATGAGTACAGACRGTTTAAGTGATTAAAACCAGTGATGAACCTTAGAGCAACCAGATRGATGGTAGAACAAGAAGTTAAAAAACCTTGGCATGTTAGCATGAAAATAAACATTATAAGCACAAAAGATATCAAGGCATCAGGAATGTTTTGATCCACTTTTTTAAAAAAGATCGTAAAAAGTCTGGGTCCTAAAACAGCCTTGTGGCACACTTTGACCATTAAATAGCTTGCCAAAAGACTAAACTGCACACATTCACTTTAACATGAGAGGAAGTTAGAGAGCCAGCAACACTATGATCCATGAATATGATATCTAAAAGATAAAGACACCATGATCTACAGTATCAAATGCTTTGAACAGGTCTAAGTGAAATGCAGTACAGTAGTTCCTGGCATMCATTGTTTCAACAACATTAAAAAATCTTTACTGAAACAATCCCTGAGCTGTGTCGTTTCCKAAATCCAGACTGATGGGAAGATAAAATATTAAAAGACCCCATTAGTTTTTTTTTTTTTTTCATTCTAATTGTTGGGTGAATAAAAATTCCAACAGATGACAGAAAAACTGCACATGAAATATAAATAAAGGATGTGCAGAGCTCAGACAGAAAGCAAAAGAGGAGAACAAAAGATGGGCTGCAGAAACGTCTATTGTGGCTTCAGTGCAATTTCCCAGGTATCATTTAACATCTCACTTCTGGCATTCTGGTAATCGTTTCCTCATTCACTTGCTCTCACTTGAGGTTTTATTTCCTTGTATTTCAAATGACACATTTCAGAAACTCTTGTAGCTGTTATTGAAAAGGTACTTCAGTGTTATTTCTCATCTAAGCCCAAACCCAACTCTGCTGTTGGGCTTGGACAGAGGAGAGACCAAGCGCATTTCTAGGGCAGCTGAGGACAGAGACAGCTCTCCTGTCCCCTTCTGCCCTAGAAATGAGCAGCAATTGATAAGATGAAATGGCAGAGATAAATCCGCATTTATTTTCTATCCATTCAGGATCTAATACAACAAGTACAAGCCAACCCACACACAGGTTGTAACGCCGACTAAAGCTATCACAATAATAAATTACTTACTCATTACAAAACATATTGGTAAGTTGATAAATGAGCTCATTAATTTCCCCAGCTATGCTAACGTCTTGTTTCAACACAGCAGAAAATGTATTTTCTGTTACCTCCAACTTAGCAGTATTTTTAAAAGGGGCTCAAGCTAAAAATAAAAAAAAATGAAAAGAGACATTCTGCAGTCATTTCTTCAGCTTGAGGTTATGGCTCTGTTCATTCTGTGAAACTCAGCGATGCTGTGAGCAGATGTGGGTCGGCAAACACAAACAGTGTATCTGCAAATGTGGGTAATAGGTTACTTAAGGTTAACAGACTGTTTAACTAATTTTTAAGAGGATAGTACCTACTATATGTTGATGTACGAGGAAGGCCGATAATATGTTTTAGTATTCTTAAACAAGTATGAATAATTTCATGGTCAAATAAGGTTAATTACTTTTTATGTTTTGACAGAATAGATTCCAAATATAATATTCTACTATGGCATATACTGTGTGTGTGTGTGTGTGTGT